TAGACACAGAAGTAAAAACAAGTTAAAAAGGCAGAGAGTGTCCTTGACTCTTCCAAGTGTTGCATGTCCCTCTTACATCCGTATGCCAATTGGCAGAGCTAGGTCTTGTCACACCTCCTCAATGTCAGCAAAGTAGGAGCTGGAATAGAGTTGTGATTTATATGAAAGAAGTTTGGATACTGAAGAGAAATTTTAAAAAGATAACAATAAACATCCTGTAGCATTTGAAATGCAACTATAAGCATAACCATATCTTTTAGAGCAATTGCTGTAAGGTTACAAATTGGAAGTATCAGTTGTTTCACTACATTTTCTCTTTGGCCCTTGAGTTCAAAACAGACTGATTCAGCTCAGACTCAGCTCAATTCAGCTCATCAGCCGGCCATCAACACATCCCAATCAAGACCTAAAAAGCCGCTTACAACAGGCACTGTAAATACCACACAGAGACCAGTACACAATCCTAGATCCTGTAAACCGATTCATAGAAATTATAGGCAATGTTTGAGGTGCTGAAAGTCACAAATCAGTCTCTTGATGTTCCAAGATACCACAAGACGTCATCTAAGTATCTCAAAGGGACAAGGCCAAAATAATTTAGATTCTTTTGCCTGTGTTTCTCCCTTCTCTCCTCCTCATATGTTAATGGTAAGAATGGAATCATTAAGTTAAGCTCACTCCAACCCCACACTATCATCAAATAGCAATTTTGAAAGGGTTTCAAAGTGGTGTAAGATGTTCAGATATAATTTTACTTCTGCATCCACTACAGACTAGGCCTTTTTTTAAATTTAGCTATCACTCTCTTTCCAATTCTGTGGTTTAGAACCTTAAGGAAAATCTCTAGTTTGATCTACAATGAAACTTGCTCCAGGCACCGGTAACTTCTATGGACACATTGCTGCCACATTGAACAGGTGCAGGCCTCTCAGCTCCCTGTAGGGCACAATATGCATTAAAAAATAAACAACAACAAAGAAAACAAGAATTTGTAATCTGAGCTTTGTTTGATTCTCTCAGAGTTTTTCTTTGTATTCGTGGTGTTCTTAAGTGGAACATCATTCCATTCAAAAAAACATTTTGCTGAGAAAAGATGTTATAGTCCCCATTTGCCTAGTCTTTCTTTGCCAAATGTGTTGTACTTCATTGCCCTTCATCTCAGATGCCATGATTGCTGTCACCGAGGGGAGCTATAGTCAAGACATCTGGACAACTGCTTATGAGATGGACTTGTTAAGCATATTATATTTTTTTTCTTTTTAATTTGTGTTTATTGCTAAAAATTTGAAGTACAAAGAAAGTGACAAAAAGTAAACTGACAGAAAAAGGCTGCTAAATTTGAATTGAAAAATGTAATTGAAAAAGGTCAAAAGTACATTACTTTTTAGTTATACTGTATATTTTCTGCTTCTTGTATATTTGTATCTGCACCAAAAGTCACAATTTAGATATTTAAATTTTGTCCTAGGAATTATTGGTTTCTTATTTGACTAAGATATACAAGTTCCTGCTTGAAGATATTATATCTTCTGTGTGTGATATTGCTACTTATGGATTGGACAAGGAAGCTGCCTAGGAATCATTAAGTTGATCGAGTGAAGGATTGTGACTCCCTATTCAACAAACTTATTGAGTCTTCTATCCAATAAACAAAAAAAGCAATACGAGGTTTTATGTACATTGAAGTTGCAAATTGCAGGCCTTTTATATTAAAGACTATAGCTCCATTAGTACATTTTTTTTACTACACTTCCTTAGTGACATTAGGAAAATAAGTTATTAATCCATCAGCAACTGCTTCTGCATATTTTACAGATGTTTTAGCTATGACTTTTTAAATGACTTTGCTACAGCTTAAGAAATAAAGTTTTAGGGATGACTAGACAACCCACAATGTTTTGGATCATTGTTTCAAGAATATTTCCTTACCTAAACAGATAATTACAACAGGTGGACAAAAATCAGTGGGAGTGAGACAACTTCCAACTTCCCTATTCAGTTTCCTTGTGGGAAGCTGGCAGTAAGTAGCAAAAACCTTCCTTCCTTCCTTCCTTCCTTCCTTCCTTCCTTCCTTCCTTCCTTCCTTCCTTCCTTCCTTCCTTTCCAGGTTGGACACAGTAAGTCAATTTATTGTGGAAAGATCAGGTGAATACATCACTTTCAATGACTCTGTTTTCACTTTTATTTCTGCTAAATAGTCAAAAATTGATAATGGACATATGTCCATGTCCAAGTAAGCTTTGCCTAGACACAAGTGCTGTACTTGATTTTTAGAAATCTCTCCCTGACAGCTTTTTGTAGAAAGTGCTCCAGTCAAGCAGATAGCTGCTGAGGAGAGAGGATTGGTGTATCTAAAATGTCTAAGGAATTTTGTTCCTCGCTGTTGTTGTAAAGAATAAATGCTGGGAGTAGCATAAATCTTCAATATCTATTTTGCACCAATGCTTGGCACAAAATTAGCTTTATTCAATTTTAGGAAAGTGTAAAAAAAATAGCTCATTTTTTCCAGTAAAGAGATAACTGTTTTTTCCCCTAAAGCTTTGTGACATTTGCTCTTATGTTAATAAGTTATACTCAAATTCAGTTAATTAAGCTGAGCTTAGTTCTGAGAAGACATACACTATTAAAGTATTTGTTTTTCTTTAGACTCCTTATGAGAACATCCCATCTCTAATAATCATATTGAAAATGGGGGGGGGGGAGGTTTGGTGTTGGTATGCCTTCAGATCATTTTTTGACTCCTGGAGCTGCCTTGGACAGATTCCTGTAGTTGTCATGACAAGTAGTTTGCCATTGCATCTCCTTCCTAGGAGTGACAGAATGTGATTTTCTCAAGATCACCCAGATGATTTTATGGCTAAGATAAGACTAGAACTCATAGTCTCCCAGTTTCTAGCATGGTGCTTTAACCAGTAAACCAAACTGGCTGTTTTTTAATATGTATGTTCATTAAATTCCTTAATAACATATTATTGAGAAAGACAATCATTTTATAGTGAAATTGTTTTATTTATTTATACTGAATAATAATAACAATTAAACTTTTGATTAAACTGTGGATACATCAGGATTTTCTGTTGCATCAGAATTGTTTCTTGATGAGCAAATCCTGTCCTTGGACGTAACCTGCCCAGAAGTCAATTAAGCTGCAAATCTAATTAAGAGAATGAATAATGAAGTAACCATTTTTAAGAGAGCATAATTTAGTGTACTTCTAAGAAAATAATAATACAAATGAAGGATTTGTAAATGTTAGTTTAATGATAGTTCACCTGCCTATATAGCAATAACGTAGGCTAGTGATGGCAAACCTTTTTCTTATGGCATGCCAAAATTGCATTCCCACACCAATTAAATCTTCCCCATTCACCTGCACATGTGTGCATGACACCCTTCCATGTATGCGTGCATGACCCTTCCCCAAGCTCCAGAGGCTTTCCTGAGGGAGGGCAAAAACAGCCCCCCCCCCGAGGCCCTCCAGAAATGGATTGTTTCTGACCTTCCAGTTGGGCTGTTGAGGCTGTCTTTTGCCTTCCGGAGTCTTCCCTGAAGCATGGGGAAGGCGATAAACGGCCCCAACAGCCCAACTGGAAGTTTGGGAATGAACTTACAGCCCATTGGGGCTGTTTTTCGCCCTCCCCAGCCTGGGGAGGGCAAAAATGGCCTTCCCCTGCCTTCCGGAAGGGCAAAAAATCAGCTGGCAGAGCTGACAGCTAGCATGCCAACAAATATGGCTCCGCGTGCCACAGGTTTGCCATCACGGACCTAAATAATACTCAAACTTCTCGGTTGAGTATTTAAGCAGCTGGTATCAACTGGATTTCACATGGTGATAGTGAACCAATTTCATGACATTTTAGAAAAAGTGGATTGATCAGGTCCAGAAACCTAGATTGGTATAGCGAACCCTTGTAGATTAAACCTTTCAGTGGCTTTACCATCAGTCATGGTATTCTGTTGGACTGTATGCAGAGGTTTGAGATAATAGATGATCGCCTCTAATGGTCCTGCTCCTTCTTCAGTGATTAGTTCCAATCTGTGACATTGAGAAAGTATGATTGTCTACGTGGCTCCTGGGTGTGTGTTACTGCTTGATGTCATCCAATGGGATAATGTATCGTGAGAATGCTGATGATACCCAGTTGTACGTCACTGTTGTTGATGTTCTTTTCTGGTGCCTGAAAGCTACCTGGGTCTGGCTGTAAAAAACAGCTGAAGGTGAAGCCTAAAAAAATCTGAGCTGCTATGGGTATACCGGGTTTTCTGTTGCATCAAGTTGTTCCTTGATGGCCAAGAACTTGAGTGTTTGTTTGGGTTCGTTTCGTGGTACAGTTTAAGGTGTTGGTTTTAACCTTTTAAGCCCCTTTATGGCTTGCTGCCTAGGTGCAATCTGCTCTAGCCATTACTGGCTCCATCACTTACAGTAGGTCAAGCAGAGATAACTATTACTGATCCCACATTTTTGGAAGGTCCAGGAGGCTAAAGTTAGAAGTGCTACCTTTCTCTAGTAGAACCAATTCTGTGGATTGGCCTCCTAGTTTTAATTAGGCTACCCTCCTCATTGATGTTAAATAAGTTTTTAAAGATGAAGTTACTCAAAAGACTTTTCCTAATTTTATTATGCCATATTTACTTTTTTATTTATATGGTGTTTTATGTTTGGGTGATGTTGCTTTAACATTTGTATTGCTGTTATCAATGAATGTTTTACTCACTTTTTGTAACCAATATCAGCTTTCAAAAGTCCCTAAATTGAGGCAGAGTAGAAATTTGGTTAATAAATGAATTATAAAATTTTAAAAAGAAAATGTATTAAACATTAATTCTGGAAATACACAGTAGAATTTTTTGAATAATGCGAAATTATTTGTTCTATTTATTCATTTGAAATCTCAAATTATGAAAATTTATATATGAATTATACCACTTGCATTGTCTCAACCAGGATATGTTTTGTTGATTGTATTTAATTTTAACTCCATTTTGTTTATATGTTACAGTTCCACTTAGCAGCCCTGGCATCTTTGAAAGGCGACATCGTTGATCTTAATAAGCGCTTACAGCAAACAGAACGAGAGAGAGATTTGTTGGAAAAGAAATTGGCAAAAGCCCAGGTTAGTTATTATTCAACTATATTATTCAAATGGCCATGGCTCAAACATTTAAACCAATCAAAAGAATTGTTGTTGCATCAAAGGCATCAAATGTGACTTTTCACAGATGAACATAATAAAGTCTATCAGAATAGTTTCTTGATACTAAGGGCATTGGGAAACAAAATTGTGTTATTTTTCTAAACAAAAGAACATAATACATAATTAAGTTATTTCCCTATTCAAAGAGTTTATACAGTTTTTGAAAAACAAAATTCCTGTAAGTATGACCAAAAATTTCCCTACCATGGAAATGGTACATCCAGTTCAAAAGGGTATGCATATTTATTAAGCTTCTCACCCATTGAAGCAAAATTTTTGATTTGTAGAAAAATAAATTGATTTATAAGTGCTTGAAAAAAATTATCAGGATTCAGCATGGATTTCTGAAAAATCCAAGTCTTCTGCAGTGTCTTGCTAGACTAGCTTTCTGGTATTAAGCTTTCTCAATAGATTGTGGCAATATACATATACTATACATTTATTTTAGCAAAACATTTGATAAAAGGACAGAAAATATTTGACTAGCAGACTGTGTTAGGCTAGACGAGATGACACGACAGGTTGACACATACAGTAACGATCTCAAATTTGCACTTGAAGAATATTCACTAATGACTATTTCATCATATTGGAGTGATATTGGGTGTGATGCCACAAGACTGGAACCTGATCCTAGACTCTTAAAACATACTTGTAATGACTTAGATGAATTGGTGGAAGGAAACAAATGTCAGATGATGCAAAGTAGAGTAGGACAGTTAATAACAAAGAAGACAAGTAAAATTCAAAATAATCATGCAAGATTAGATAAATGAGCTGAAAGATAATATAATGAACTCAGTAAAGATAAATACAAAATTCTTCACTTAGGAAACTAAATGAAGCCACAAGTAAAGGATGGGAATACTTGGCTTGGTAATAACAGTTATGGAAAAAAAGGTGAGTAGCAATGTGATGCATTGTAAAAAAAAAGTCAAATACAAAATTAGGTTATATCGATAAGAACATACTCTGTAGTCTAATACAAGCAAACTGCAATTGTAATATCCTGGTCTTGGCTCTTCCTCTTGCTCACAAAATTAAAGAACCATTTTTTAAATGGGCTTCATTCTCTGATAACCAGTTTATTAGCCAAAATCTACATTGAACGTTGCTATGGACAAAGCTTGACTGCTGGGTTGAGTACCCACTGTGCACTCCAACTTGCTCCTACTTAAGTATATTTATTACTCCTTCCTCTTTGTATTTTCCTGATAGCAGCAACCTGGTGAGGTGATTTGGGCTGAAAGAGAGTCACTGGCCCAAAGTCATCCAGTCACTTTTCATATTTAAGATGGGACTAGAGTCTCCTAGTTTCTAATCTAGGGCTTTGTTTCAAGTTATTGAAGACTATCTGCTAACAATAATAGCAGGAAGATTAAAAAAGAAATCCTTGCTCAGTTTGGACAGGAGTTAATACATATACCAGAATTGTGTATCCTTTGATTAGTATTAATATAATTTAATAATCACAAATCATTATATTCATGACATTTCCATTGTAGTTTGTTAGTGTCCCTTGAATTCTCTTGAATAGTTTCCTAGTATGCAGTATATCTATGGTGTTGTGAGTACAAGGCATGATTACTTCACTCCTTTCAGTATGAAATCTGGGGAGGGGGGGTTAATATGGGGAAACAACGATAAGCAGGCAAGTGTACAGTACACATCACCAGATGATTATTCTTTGGAGATCACATGCTAGCTATAATTATAAATTCTAAATATAATGTATCTAAACTGGGAACTATTTTATTTTGAGAATGAAGGAAAGTTTTCAAATAAGTTGTTAACTCAGAAGAAAGAGCACTAGAAGCATATTCTGTTACCTCCCCTTTTTATTGCCTATACTGAAAAATATTTGATGAATTTAGATCTTCACCCTGATTGTCAATAAATAATATATAATTTAAGATATACAGATGATACTATGCTCCTAGAATAGTAGAGAAACTAAAGAACCTGAGAATAGTGAAAAGTGTAGGTTACATTTTAATACAAAACCCCCAAAGTGAAGAAGTAAAATAAAAACAATAATCAACTATACCTTTCTCTAGCAAGACAAAAAAAATGGCAATTTTGGAAACTTAAACTCAGAAGAACGGGGGGAAAAACGGTGTTGTAAAGTGGCAAATAAAAATTGCCAGAAATACTGTTTTAGAAATTAAAAATATTCTAATCTCAAGGAAAATAGATTTAAAATGAAGAATTAAAATGATCAGAAGCCGTAGTTGGTCAATTCGCTATATAATGGTTAGAAGGAACAATAGAAAAGAAGTAAGATATCACAAAGCAGCACCTACGGAAACCATGTATATATTTGGATTTCTCTGAATTATGAAAAATTGCGGAAGTAGCAGAGGAGATGTGGCCATCCACATCCTGGTAGGAGAAGACACTTGAGCTATTATTAAACATGAATACATAGATGCTCTTTGATAAAAACAGATTATTAATTAAAGAAAAAAATCATGCAATAATCTTCAATATACTAGTAATATGCAATTCAATATTTTTAATGATTTGTAGTACTATCATTAAAAATAGATGGTTGGTCGCTGTGAATATTTTAATATACAAGATAACTAATATCATTTTTTTAAAAATTCTGATTATTTCCAAGTATTAATAATAATTGTTCAATTAATTAAAATGTTATATTGTGAAATTTATATCTGAAATACTTGCTGCTGTGATAAAAGAGTCAAAAAGTAGCATGGAGTAACTTCTTTAAACGATTTAGGTTGACAGTTCCATGAAAAAACATGAATCGTTTTCCAGTTAATGAGGTAGCTATAATATATCATAGATTGCACAGTTATCTAGCTTAGAATTCTTAGTTTTCAGGCAGCTATTGTTTTACCGTAAAATAATGGAATGTGTATTTTGAATTCAGTTAAACCCAACAGATATGTGAAGATTATCCCCACATCAGGATTATTAATCATTCTCATCAACCCACTGTCATTAAAGCATTATCCCAGCTACTCTAAAGAGGGAAAGGTTTTGCATCTAGTTTTGCCTTCCTGCTTTGCTCCTATTACTCTAAATGAGTTAACAGGAAAACTAGCCTCCTCTTTTCCTTCAGCATGACACACCTTGTAAATTAGCATGAAATTTGATTGATTCATTGAATAATGTAATGATCCAGTCTTCCTATGGAACTTTCATCACTTAAAATTTAAATTTAGTCTCATAATTAGCTGAGTCTACAGAGGTACAGTCTTCCATTGTAATGAATCTACAGCATGTTACTATAAGGTTTTATATCTAAAATGAGATGATCCATTAAGTTGTTGTATCAATATGCTAAAACTGATAGGGTTTTCATTCCAAATTCTGTGATTCATACGCGTGCGTGCGTACATGCGTGCGTACATACATACATACATACATACATAGCATAAGTTGCCATCAGGAATGTTCCAGATCAATGTTTTTAGTAGGAGTCTTTCTCTTCTTTAATATTAGGTCTGAGATTGGTATATAGCCAAAAATAATTTCAGTGTGGTCCATCTCACCAGGCGGGACACTTCTTTTTAGCAAACACATTGAACAGATTGGCCTCTCTTCTTTATAGTGGGAATGGCATCCTATCATTGCGACTTTTTTTGCAGATCCAAACCATCCAGAAATCAACCTTTTTATCACTTACTGGAACAGGAAATGCACATGATATTATAGCAGGAAGTTGTTTGAAACCAGTACTGTGCAGGAAGAGTAAAGTGATCCAAAAGTTCTGAAAATTGTAATTCAACAGCATTTTAAGGTTTATAGTTTCAGTTACCTACTATAAATTATATTGTGGTGATGAGAATACATTACCCCTGTGCTGTTACTGTGCACAGTAGATTAACTTGTTTTATTTAATTAGTACATTTATATGGCAACCCAAATCAAACTATATGATTCTAGGTGGTATAAAAATTATTAAATAAAAATACAAAATAAAAATAACATATATCACAAAAGGAAACTAAAACAATTAAATGACTACCAGAAATAAAATATACTATATCCAACCAGCTTGGAACTTTCCTCATTGTGCTCCAGGAGCCTGGCAACAGAACAGGGTTTTAAATATCTTCCTAAACTTCATTTGGTGCTTTTTTTATATTTACAATGACCAATGATTTCACGAAACAGAGAGATTCATACAAAAAAAGAGGATTATTATGGCTTACAGTATATTAATTCTTGAAGGTATTTTTTCATTAATCAGTTTAATCTAAACCTAATTATCAGTTTTTATATGTTTGGGAAGATGACAGGTTGCAAAATAACATCATGCCTCATGTTCCATTTGCTTCCATATGATCTCTAAATGTTTTTTACACTGTTTAGTGTGAGCAATCTCACCTAATGAGGGAGCATGAAGATGTGCAAGAGCGTACAACGCTTCGTTATGAGGAACGGATCACAGAGCTTCATAGCATTATTGCAGAGCTAAATAAGAAAATAGATCGACTGCAAGGAACTACTATAAGGTACAATGATAAATGTATTTATTAACAAGATACTACCATGAACATACCTCTTGGGTTTCATGAAAACAATTTCTCTTTCTAAGTATACATTCTTTAGACTTTAGTTTATAACACCAGTTATTGAATTCTGTATTCTGCTTCCCCTGCTCATATCCTGGACATTTCATAAAAGCTCATGCCCAACATTCAAATAATTTCTGAATATCTTAAGTATAACTACAAGCCACTTCTAAATGTTGGGCATTCTTTCTAAGGCCTTAGCATTTAATATCAAATAACACAAAATTAAAAGTTCATTTTTAAAAACCCTTAAACTTAAATATTTATAATAGGAATAAGATACTTGAGGCCTTGACAGTCTGTCAACAATCTTCTGGTTACTGGAGAAAATTATATTATTGATAACAGGAACAGAACATGTTTGCTTGAGAAGATTGAGAAGCTATAACTGTCAGGGTTTCAAATAACATCCAAAAGAAAATCAGAGTCCAAGGCAAAGTCTTGCTCAAAGTTCCAATTTATTAAGAGAGCAATGTTGGCACACCTGGAAAACCTGAATCTGAAGGCTTTCTGGTTTTCCCACCCAGTGGAAAGTTCAAGATCTTGCCCCCACAAGTCCATCACATGGTCCAATCTTCCACTGCCATGCTGGCAGCTTCCACCCATCCAGTTCCGGTCAGGTCCAGAGATGCAAAGACAAAGGATGACCTTGGCTTTCTAGAAAGAATTTTGTTGTGGCTACATATCTCTAACTTCAAACAATCCCCCCTCCCATTTCCCACAATAGAAAATGCATAGTAGTATAATAGAAAGTGTGGCAGGCCTGATATCCACCAGAAAATATGGCTGCAGGCCTGACAAGTAACACTCATTCCATGCCAATGCTGGAGAAGAAGTTGTATGAGGGTTCATAGATAAAACTCTGTTCCATAGTAGATCAGGAGCCCTGTAATGATAGAGAAAAAGATATTTTACTCTATGACAAGATTGCATTTCCAAAAACCCACTATAGAGTTGGTGGTAAATTGGCACTGCCCAGATTTTGCCAAGGAACATAATACTGTGCTTTGCTGACCATTTTTGGCATTAGATGATTCTTAATATCTTTCTTTAGCTTCTTACATCTTTCAGAGCTAGCTATCCTTGAAACATTAAGGCATCACACACTCTTGACTATAAATGAGTATTATTTATAAGTAGTCCATATTAATTCTACCAACTACTCTGCTGCATTGCTTTTATACAAAAAAACTCTTTAGTGTTACATAGATTTGTTGTCCAAATCATAAGCTTTTATCAATAGATGGTAAAACTGCATGTACAGAGTATGCAAAATATATGGAGAGAAACATTTTAGTAATGAAGGCTAATACTTTTTTATTCAATATCATCTATGCATGTAAGGCTTCGCAAAGCAAAGTAAGATCCATACCAAATTATAACAATAAGCTCTTAATGCAATTCCACTTGTTGTTCTTTCTTATTCATACAGTGGACTTTTATGGTTGCCCATCTCATATTCACAATTATGGTCACCTAACAAAATTAAAAACCTGATAAACATATGCAAAAAAATATAAAACCCATAGCAGCAGGAAAAAATTATAAAGACCCAATTAAACAGTCAACATAACCAAACTAGCCCATCTCTAGAGCGCGCAGTTTCAAGCACAAAGCCACATCTTCAAAGCCTTATGAAAGGTCAACAGGGAAGGGACCAACCTGGTGTCTGAGGAATGATATTTCAGAGGTAGAGTGCCATGACTGCAAAGGTTTTCTTCCTGGGCCCTGCCAGTTGCCTTTCACTCCTTCTGGACTGAATGGCACAGGTAGAAATAATTTAATGACTTCAAAAGCAGAGAGTGTGCAATGCAATGTAATATTATATATTTATTTTCTAAGCAGTCTGACTTTCTTTAATGACAGGATTGATTTGGTTTTTAATATTGTCAAAGATCTTCCAAATTTATTCAACTAAGCATACATGAAGCCACACAACAAATGAGTTGGATAAGACATTAACACTTTCAAATGCGTTTGATGGAGGTGACATAATAATTAAAAAGTCAAGCCAATTATCATTCTGAATTGTCCTACAACAATGCAATTGCTTACTCTCCAACTGCTTGGATAACATATTTTTAAAGATGTGCAGTTATGTACAATTTAATATGAAATTTGAAAGATAAACTATCTGAAATAGTGCTGGTTAGTTTTTTAAAAAAAAACTTGTTACCAAAGGTTTGGTAACCAAAGGTTTGAAAAATAGGCTGTAGCATTGTAAATTATGTCACTTGTTCATAAATTGTTACAGCAAAAATCAATATTTTAGCTCTGAGTTTTTGTGGCAAAGTGGCTTGGAAGTTGTAATTAATGTAATGAAGTCAGATATAGCCTCTTCTGCTTGGTATGCAACAAAATCTATTGACTAAATTTCTGTGTTTTGGAATTTGAATACTTTTGGAAGAAACAATCAACTATAGCAGATCCAGAATGTTGTGACTAGGCTTCTATTGGGTAGGGTCCAGCCTCAGCTTAATGGGTGGTTACCATGACTAATAAACATAATTGTTTCCGTGTCAAATTTTAAATGCATGGTTTAACATAAAAATCTCTTTAAGACTTGGAAACAGCCTACTCCTTTAGTATATCACTCCAGTCATCATTTGTGGAGTGTTTCCCAAGTAGAAGCCCGGCTGGAATCAACCATGGCCATTGGTACACAGTATCTTTGCCCCAAGGGCCATATTAAAACATATGAGTATAATAAAAACTGAGTTCTGATGTCTGAATTTAGCTGACCAGGCAAAGAATTAACTGATGAAGTAAGATTAATTAGAATGTGCCTATAGGTTGCCAGGGAAGAGAAGATTGATCTCAGATTTTTCAGAGGGCATTCTAAAAATTAATTGTATATAATAGACCTTGGTTAACAAATGGTAAAAGATAAATTTGCAAATTACATCATTAATAAAAAAAATACTATTATTCTTACACATTTGATTGGTCAATGTTTTACAATGTCATTCTTAATAAAAAAAATTTAATAACAAGTATACAGAAAACTATTATCTTGATTTCTAGTAAGGAAAAATATTAGGCAGCAATTGTGATAGATCAGATTAACTCCTGCTTATGTGGCAAATAAAACTATAATGTTACCAAAGCAGTAAATACAATAACAGTTAATTAAATTTTATTCTCTCTTTTTAAGTGATATGATTTTGAAATTATAATCACCTACTGGATAACTGAACCAGTTATAGCTCAATGTATTTTCATTGTACCTTTTTAAAAGGGCATCATATTGAAATTCTTTCAAAATATTATAATAGTGGAAAGATACTTTAACTTACAGTTCCCTTTTTAGTGTTTTGATTCATAACTTTTAAAAATGATGTGAAAAACCTTTTCCAGTTATATAACAACCAGTAAGTTTTGTTATTATTGTTGTTTAATAAACATTTTCAGTATGAGATGATAAGCTTTAGCTCCTATTATAGGATATTCTTGTGGTGCCATTCATTCTGTATTTTTCTGCCAGAATAAGGTCAACATTAAGAATATCTCATGTGGCTGACTTAGGAAATTGAAAGCTAGCACTGATGCTTTAATAGATATGTCATGTGATTAATAGTAACATTATACATTGTCACAAATTGTCCTTGTTTACAATTTATTCTCCATGTGCACATAATCCTTAACTTTATCAGCTCAAATATAGATGAGGAAATTACAATCTCTTACCTCATTAAGGATTCCCTATATAGTCATGGCCTTATGAACTTTTTGAGCTCTGCTACATTGCTAAGGAAATTTGTCTATGATTAGACCCACGTCCCTATTGGGATTAAAACAGGGGAAGGGAGCAGAGCAGCTAAATATTAGGAAGGATATTTGAGAAAGGTAGGAAGTATGAGGACAATAATCTGCTAATAACTTCAAGTTTGATACTCATATCTAATATTTTCTATTGGATTATGATTTATTCTAATGGTAATTATAAGTATAATTTTTTTGAAATAATTCAACTTTTTATAAGTTTTTAAGAGGTAATAGTGGAAGGACTTTTTTAAAACATGAGGAGTGATGAAAGTTATAAAGATAACTATAGAGTATCTTAGAAATGTAAATAAGACCTAGAGTTAAGTTAAAACCTGTTCTTTGCATCTGTACCAGATGTGGGTTGCTCCCAGTTCCATCCAGATCGGGCGCGCGCATGAGCAAACCAGTAGTAAAAAAAATGGAAACCCACCACTGAACCATACTAGCTTTTTCACCAGGGTTATGAAAATAGTTTACCATTTTTCTTTCTAGCATTTTTTATATATCATAGTCTACTTATGAATAATTTAAAGATAAAGATAGCTAAACACTGCATTGTTGAATCTTTAATATGCTATAAAGTTTGCATCAAAAGAGCAAATTCTTCTATTAAAAATATAGGCATTGTTCTAAAATTCATTAATGCAAACAAAGGAGTATTGACAATAGTTACCACTTGAAAGCATTATTTTCCTATTGAAAAATTGACATAAAAGGGAAAATATTATTGCTGCTTGCTATTTTTTCTTTATTTTGTTTAAAGTGTTGTGTGTTTGTATAAGTCATCAAATAGATGTTAGTTCAAAATATATGATTTTTATAAGCAATATGGTAAAGCTTTGTTTTTCATTTAGCTTAACTAAAATAACATTTCTACATCCATTTATTATGTTTTGGATTATATAATTAATTTAAACCAGTTCATCCTTGCCACTTTTGGAAGTATCTGAAATAATGACTTGAAAAAAGCAAACTGTATTTGATTAACTATTCTTAATTTTAGGAATGCTTAACAAGGGAGTGTAGAGGTGTTTAGCTTCTGCTTAGATCTTTACTGGTGTGTGACATACCTTACACACTGTCATTTAGAAGTCTGTGAAAGCCCATCTTGATAGCAAATAATTCTTTGCTTTTATGCTGCATATTTATTTTACACCATAAATTTCTTAGAGGAAGGAAGATTTCTTATTGTTTCTTAATTCTCTTATAATGAAAAAAATATTTTTTATTTATAACCAAAAAGGATTTCCCTTTCTCCATATTCCTTAGAATATAAGTATCTTAACTTTGCAAAATTGATTTGTTGTACAAGGGAACAAAGTCACCCATTCAGATTACCAAAGGGTCAGAAAAAAATGGAGGATTGTTAATCAGTGTTCATATGAGAGAACTAACAGAACATTTAACACAAATATTAACATAACTTGAATTATAACAACTCTTTTATTCACAGAGGATTTCATACCATAGATATCAAGGTATTGTGGCAACACTGATTAAAACAGAAGGGAAGTTGGAAAAAAGCCAAATTTTAGATTGTGTGTGAAACCATGAGAGAATTACTGTGCACACACACTGTTAGCATCTCAAATTAATTCCTTAGCGGAGGAGTGTATGGGGTAAAAGTTTGTGTAATTTGTATAATTTCTTGCATTTTGCTTAATGGGAAAAGCAAACTTATCTGATCTGTTATTAAAAGGATAAGTCATAACTGTAAGTTAAAATAGGATTGTGATGTGATTGAAAGTCAACAATGGCTAAATTAATAACTAGAAAACTAGGTTTTTGTAGAGAGAGCTTTGATTAACTCAGCATATTTCAAAATACTTCTATTATTATGTATACTTAATAGTTTTCAAAAATAAATTTAAGTAGCATAGCAATTAGTTGTGCCCAGAACGTCACATATATGATATTTCTTTTTTATGTATATATTGTTTTATCAATAGGAATAAAATACAAAACAGGAAAAAATGTACATCCAATAGTAACAACAACAAAAAAGAAAAAAAATGACCCAAACATCCAACATTAAACATATAAAAAATCCATCCTGGCTGGATGCTGAAAAGAAAAATAAAAAAAAACTGATTAATATATATTTCTTGAAACCTTAGTTGTCATGCAGACTTTAATATGTTTTCATTAGGACAATGTATTATGTAATGATATCTTCTGAAAATATGACTTATCATAAGATGGTATTTGTGATTGAAAAGTATCAGCCTTCCTTATCTAATTCTTCTGAAAGGACAACTGTTAAAGTGCTTGATAATTATTTTAATTATCAATCACATTTTCAATTAAAACAATAACACATGCTTAAGATAACAACTTTATTAAAGTATCAAAATAAAATATGAAGTTAAGAAGCAATGGGTATTGAAATATATTAAAATGCAAAATTTAAAAAATGGGAGAAAAAATGTCAGTCTTCTTAAAGAGAGGCTGATTCCAAAAATGTATATTAAGAATACTGCTTCCTCAGATAGGTAATACTTTGAAAAAAAAATGAGCAGTTATAATTTCCGTAACATGTTTGACTTGAAATGTTTACATATGCCATACACTTACTAAATAGCCTTACATAAATAGCTTTCAATCTGGAGTCATACTGTGTTTGCTGTAATACAACTTTCCATAGGAGAATCTTCCAGATGCATTGAACTTCACAATTATCAGTCAGTACGACCAATACATCTAGAACACTAGGCTACCCTTGAAAAGTGTTCAGAGACTGCAGCTAGTCCAGAATGCAGCCGCGTGAGCGATACTGGGTGTACCTAGGTACACCCACGTTACACCTATCCTCCGCGAGCTGCACTGGCTACCTATTGGTCTCCGGACGCAATTCAAGGTGTTGGTTATTACCTTTAAAGCCCTACATGGCTTAGGTCCAGCATACCTCCCAGCGGCCGGTGAGATCCCACAGGGTGGGCCTCCTTCAGATGCTGTCAACCAGACAATGTCGGCTGGCGGCTCCCTGGAAGAGAGCATTCTCTGTGGCTGCCCCGACCCTTTGGAATGAGCTACCCCCAGAAATCCGGACCTTACCCACTCATGGCCTTCAGAAAAGCTGTT